GCCATGCAGTGGTTTTCTCATTGCTTTTTGTGATTTCATTTCTTGTTTTACAGTACGGTTATATACGAGGGTGCACACAATTTGTAGAAAGAATTGTACACTGCAGATAGTTCTGAAGAAATCCATGCTAGTTTAGAATTATAATGTTTAAATCTATCTACCGATTAATATTTATAGAATGTGTATGTACGATGGTAGAAACTATGATTGCTCAAAGTTTACGGAACCACTTAAAAGACCAGTGAGGATCTATTCCACCATAACTGCAGGGTCTTTATGGATTCCATTCCAAAGTTGAATGTCCCATTCCATTAATGACTGCAAGGTTGCATGGAATTGCTGAAGTAAATAAGCAGGATTTTGCATGTCAGTATCATGTCTTTAGGGGACAGGCTGCAATCACTGCAAAGACTAGTGTTTGGTCCTTAAAGGACCACTATAGGCACCCAGACCACTTCAGCTTAATGAAATGGTCTGGATGCCAGGTCCATCCAGGATTAACCCTTTCTGCTGTAAACAGGTTGCAAATTAATGTACTTTATATAAAATAAATCTTACTGAGAAAACTTCACTTGTAGAGTCAATTAAAATTAAGTAGAACGTTTTCTATAAAGTTCAACAAGTTGCAGCCAATAAAAATCTGCCATATGCCTCTATAAAACACTGGTTTATTTGCTAGCATAGCCCAACAAAAAGGTGTGAAATTCCTTCACCTTAAGTACCTATGAGGATCTTTTGCCTCCAAGTAACCTATGGGTTAATCCAGCCTCTAGTGGCTGTCTCATTGACAGCTGCTAGAGGCGCTTCTCACTGTGATTTTCACAGTGAGAAGACGCCAGCGTCCTTAGGAAAGCATTGAGAATGCTTTCTTATGGACTGGCTGAATGTGCGCGCGGCTCTTGCCGTGCATGCGCATTCAGCCGATGACGGGGAAAGGAGGAGGAGAGTCTCCAGCACCGAGGGAGCACGGCGCTGGAGAAAGGTAAGTGATTACCCCTTCCTCTCCATTTAGCCCGGCGGGAGGGGGACTATAGTGGTCCTTTAAAGGGACACTATAGGCACCAAAACAACTTTAACTTAATTATGCAATTTTGGTATAAAGATCATGCCAACGCAGTCTCTTTTTTTCCCAATATTTCATTTTTATTGATAATTTTCTTTACAACTGTAAATACATATCTCCATTCCAAAAAAATAAATAAAAATAAAACACAAGATAAAACAAACACAAAACACAATAACAGCTCCAATATAAGCTCAATATTCATATCCTTATATTTATATATAAAAATAATTACAAAGAAAACAAACAAACCCATGCAGTCTCACTGCTCAATTCTACTAACCACACCTCATTGAATGTGACCTGCATAGGCTTCCTAAACACTTCTTGGAAAGGAACCTAGATAATCTAGGAGCCAGCTGAAATGTAGGGATTCTGGAATCAACAGCCTGTCCTTGCAGGCTTTTCAATGTAAACACTGCCTTTTCAGAGAAAAGGCTGTATTTACATTGCTGCCTAGGAACATCTCTTGTGACAGTCAGACGGCCACTACAGGTTATTCCTAGTCCAGAGCTGCGCAGTCTCCAAGCTCTGCATGGAGGAGCTGAATGTTCCCCATAGAGATGCATTGAGTGGCACAATATGTACCATAACCACTATAGCTCACGGCAGTAGTTAAGTTGAAGAGTTCATGGGCGCCATCTCACCAGTTTGTGTTCAATTATTTGAGTGGTTTTACAAAAACTGGTGCTCTGCTTGGCTCCTCTGCTCTGGCTCCGCTAATTCAGAAATTAATGTCTGCATTAGCCCACCCAGCTTTGCAAGGCAATGACAGAC